TCAGGGGAGGGAGAAGAGGGAGCAGTTCCTACAGTCTCTCACGCTCTTCCTTCAAGATGAGTTCCCTGGCACCTCAAAGTCGCCGATCCACATGACGGGAGGTCTTCGCATATCCAACTTGGATGCTCTCTCATTAACCACCGCTGCCTTCGTCTTCGCTCTTGTCAGGTCTAGCGCTCCATCCATCCATGTCCTGCCTCCCTCCTGCCTCTCCCTCCCCTCCCTCCAGCTCTCGTGTTGCTGATTTCTGCCTCAGCTTCGTGATCGCCATCGCCGCTCTCGTTGTCTCAATTATTGCCATCGTGAACTCGGCGAGGGACGTCGAGAGGAGTCAAGGAGAAGAGGCAGAGGGAGAGGGGGCAGCAGAGGGCCTTCAAGCTAAGAAGGCGATTTGAGCTCAGCTGTTGCTCTCGAGTGTTCAATTGGAGTGAACTGTGAGCGGAGCATGAACGAGGAGATGTGCGAGGAGATGAGACGGAGAGGCTTCTGCCTCGTTCCTCGTGCTGCTTCTCCGTGCCTTATCGATCTGATGCAGCGCGAGTGCGATGCTCTCCTTCACGTCACTGACCTCGATGATCGCGACTGTGTGGTCGACATGTGGGAGGCTCTTGCCATCGATGATCGTCACCCAGCTCGTCTGAATCAAGCAGGTAGAGGCCCGTGAGTGAGAGAAGGAGGCGCAGGGGCAGGGGCAGGAGGAGGCGAGGGGGAGAGGAGGATGATAAATGTCGCAGCGTACAGGCAGATGCGATGTGAACGCATGGCACGTCTGCGATTGGAGCAGACTTGTTCGCTGCTAGACGAGCAGCAAGTCAAAGATCGCCTGCACGAATATCTCGAGGACGCGCAAACCATCCAACGTTTCCTCGTTTCCGACCTCGCCGGCATCGCCTCCTCGGTCTCGCTCGCTGCCCCTGAGCTCCTCTCACGTCGCTCGCAGGCTCTTCATGCTCTCACTAACCGTGGGGACAAGCGGATGAAGAGGAGTGAGGAGAGAAACTCGCGCTCTGCTCCTGCCCCTCCTCTCTCATCCTGTTCCATCCGCCTCTTCAACGAGCAGTATGTGGTGAAGCCGCCGCAGTCGAGGGTGAGTGAAAACAAGCGGCGAAGAGCTGAGGAGCCTGAATGAAGGGAGGGAGAGGGAGAGGGAGAGGGACAAAGAGATATCTCTTGATTGAATTTTTTCTGCAGGTTGAATTTGGTTGGCACACGGACGAGGCTGAGCAGGTGACTTGAATCACCTTCTTCTGTCTGCCTCCCAGCTCTCTCATTTCTTCTTGCTCTGCTACACGTGCTGTTGAATCTACTTGACTTGACACATTTCAAAGCTTCAGATGTGCCTGCAGCGACCGCAGTCTCCCTACGTCTCCGTCTGGCTTCCTCTTTGTGACACAAGTGAGTATTCTGTAGCTCCCCCTCCTCCCTTCATCTTCCTTTCTTGATCTTCGTCCAGCTTTTCACAACGGAACACTCGAGATCCTTCCGCTAGGAGACGCCTGCTACCTCAATCCCCCCCCCGGGGTTGACAAGCATCATCCCTTCTTCCTCTCCGTCTCCTCCTCCTTCTCCGGCTCCCCCCGGACCGACGACATCTCTAGAAAGAGCAGCGAGGAAGGAGACCGTGAGCAGACTGCGAGCGAGGCCTCAGGCAGCAAGCGAGAGCAGGCGAGCTCTTGTCCTATTGGCAGCGTCCTTTCGGTAGAGGCCGGCACTGCTGTGGTCTTTGCTTCAGGTCTGAAGGGACGGGAAGAAGGGGAGAGGATGGAGAGAGATGCAGAGTGATGAGGAGAGAGGAGGAGCCAAGAGCAGAGACGTTGCTGAGTCACGTGACGTGTGCTGAGTCACGTGGCTAGCAGATGTTTGGCACCGGAGCAGCTTCAACGAGTCTGACAAGTTTCGACCAGTATTCTACGCGTGAGTTGCTCCTCCCCGTCCTCAGCCGTTTAAATCTCTCACAGTCAATATTCCCTCGGCTGCTTGCTGAGCGATGGAAGTCTTGCCATCGATGAAGGTCAGAGCTCTTCGCTGATGTCCTCCTCCTCCTCCTCCTCCTTTCCTTCATCTCCCCCCCTTCCAACTTCTCCCCCTCTCGTCATAATGTCTTCTTCTCATTGCCTCTGTCTCTCAGCTCATATCAAATCGTCCGGTCCTCTTGCGTTCGGAGTTCCTTGTGACATGGTCAAGTGTGGCCGCTGCTCAGCCAAAGCTCTCAGAGGGGAGGGACAAGAAAAGCCTTGAAGAAAGGGGGACTCGGAGCCTCCCGGCGGCAGGCGGGAGGAGGACTGAGCAGCCTAGCGACCGTGACGGTCCCAGACGGGCAGGAGAGGCACAGTCACACCTCCCCCTCTCCCCCTCCACGTAATCAGGGCCGGCACCCGATGACCGCCACACTGGCAGCCTGCTCGGCCGGGCGGCCCGGCCGGCGCTCCGAGTCCATGTCCGATCACTGAGGCTCAGTAACTTCAGTAATAAATGGAAGTTCGTTGGTGTGATCCGGGAATGATGGGTGAAACTTTATAATCCTAGTTGGTGGGGTGGGGAAGCTACCCCACCCTTTTAAATATAAGAAAATGAACAAGAATACAAGGGAAAAGAGGGGTGTATTACGGTACCCTAGATTTGAAAATGGGGTAGGGTGGGGAACACCTGAGACGAAGAGACATGGCAAGGGGAGGAGCGAGTGGAGCGTAAGGAGCAGAGGAGGGGGGAGGAGGAGGACAGAAGAAGAAGATAGATAGAAGAAGGCAGCTGCGGAAGAGTTGTGCTTGTTCTGAAACTTGATAGTGTGATGGGAAGTTGACTGCATTGGAAACAATTCCGAACAATTCATTGCCAGTCTTCCACAACTATGTTCAAGCAGCTTCAGTCGTCTCTTCTGCTTGCTCTCATTCTCTACACATGCTTAACGCCTTCAAGAGGCTCGAGGATTGCGATAATCCAACAACCCATGGGGAATGTTCTCAAAGGAAGGGCTTTGGCACAGCAGCCCGAGCTGCAAGTGGTTTTGAGCAGCACATCAGAACTGTCGGTGGGAACGCCGAGACAGAGCTATGTCAGCCTCGCTCTGAATGCAGGAGAGACGCTCGATGTCAACAACAACAATGTCATGATCGTCTCCATATTTCAGAACCCCGTGGGCGCTAATTTCTCTACTGGCTCGAACAAGATCACGGTGACGCTCAAGGAAGGGGCGTTCAAGTTCACAGACCTTCTGATCCTGCAAGGAGGAACAGGGTTCAGACTGAAGTTTGAGACACATGACTCGTATGGGAACCTCATCGCTGTTGAGTCTGACTTGTTCGACTGTGGGGGTCAGGATGCTCGCATGCATATAGCTCAACAGCCGACGCTCAACGTGTTTGGGAGCTCGCAGCCTTGGATCCCTCCTGTCCTGGAGATTTTGGATGGGACGGGAAGGAACCTCCTCTTGGCAGAGCCTGAGATCTCTGTCTCAATCTTCTCGGGGCCCAAAGGCGCTAACTTCTCGAGCGACTCGCTGCTGTCCGTGAGGGCCTCTCAGGGACGAGCCGCCTTTGAGAGCCTGTGGGTCACTAAAGCTGCCACGTTGCTCGACCCGCGTATCACCTCCTACCTGGAGCCAGTCGTCAATGTCTTCTACGTATTGAAGTTCTCCTCGCCAGGGTATGTGGATGTGTACTCCTCTGAGTTCGAAGTGCTGCCAATCTTGGCTGTAGAACGTGAACCGGTTTCTGATCACGAAAAAGTTGTCACCTCCAAGTGTTCGGGGCCTGTTTCTGGTTGCTACATCAACTTTACAGACTACCTTGGGATGTACACCGAACTCAACGGCTCGGCCTCGTCTTCTGCTTGGAAGCTTCAGTCAGCAAAGCTGAGCGTGTCCGTATCGTGTACGGATCTCGATGGTCCTGGGGAGTACGTCTCGTATGTGACTGTTGGCTCCCGCATGCTTCAGAGAGGCATCGAGTATACTCCTGGACCCTGGGCTGGATGCGCCTTTGCAGGCTGCAGGTCGCAGTGCGCGAGCAACACGAGGCTGGTCGTGTCAGATCTGGATGTTCTCTCGGACCTGGGGCACATAGATGCCTCCGCTCAGCTGTACGTAAGCGATGGGCGCAAGTTGAGTGTGAAACTCGCCCTGACGGATGCGGTCAACGTCTGTGAGTGCGACGGTTCGTTGTTGGTGGCCAACGCGACTCTCCGATTCACCTACTCCATCTCGCAGTACGAGCAAGATCTGCCCCTCAGGTACTCTCTGACCCCCCGACTCTGCCGCGATGCTTGGCTCGCTCTCTGACTCGTTTGGCAGGCAACAACCTGTGATCAGCCTGCGCAACGGGGATGGGACGCTCTACGGCCTGATGCCTCTGATAGTGTCGGTGAACCTCTCCTACTCCGAGAGCGGCGCCTTGCTGCTAGGATCTCGCATGCAGACAAGTTCCAACTCCCTCGCAAGTTTCACAGACCTCAAGGTAACGGAGGCGGGCCCGGGCAACCAGCTCCTCTTCTACATCGTGGGGACCAAGAACAGCTCGCGAGTTGAAGTCGTGGAGGCTTCTCCCTTCAACATCGGCACGGGGACACTGCCTGCCCTCTCTCTGTCCTGCACGCGCGGATGTTCCGAGCCAAAAGTTTCGATCACACCGTACGTGACATTCTCGCAGCAGCCGGTGTTGGAGCTGCAAAAGTTTGTGGGAGGTCAGTGGATTATAGCTCAGTCAAACTTGCCCGTGCGAGTGGAGGTCGGGGAGGGCAAGGGAGTGGCTCAGCTTGCTTGGTTCTCGTCTTCTGTGGTCCGTGCTGATCAAGGAAAGGTCCGTTACGTGGACTTGGCTGTATATAACGGTGGATGCCTCCAGCAGCCGACCAGGTTAGTGTTTCTCTGCAATGGCAACTCAATTGTCTCTTCTCCTTTCCTCATCATCGACGACAACTTGAGCCCGACGTTTGCCGTGGCTGACCCGGCCAACGGATCCTTTATAGGAGCCGTGCTGTGGTCCACCAATTTCCTCTTCGATATCAACATCACGGATCGCAATGTATACACAGTCAAGAATCAGAGCTACAGTGACCAGCTGTCGGTGTACGTCTGGGGGAACAAGACCTGGCTCGATCAATTCTGTTCCTGGCAATCTTGTCCCCTCGCCAACCGTACTTGTGTCCTGCTCGGAGCTTCCAATGATCGGGATGCGAATGACGTGACTAGCAGCGTAGCATGGAAATTTCAAAATTCAATTCCCCAGCTGTCGCTAAAGCCCTCCGCCTACTGTACCTCTAACAAGCCCGCCAACGGGTCTGCTTGGGGCATCAAGTTTCCCGTTCAATTCTCACCGCGCTGCGCCAACTCAGCAACCAACTTTCCGAGTGACGGGGGGAAGTCAACGGTCTGCATACAGGGGTCGGATACGATTACGTCCATAGACAACCCCAACTTGGAGGTCAGAACCTTCGGCGAGCAGCGATGCGTCGAGATCGAAACTCGAAGCCCCGTCGCTCCTTACTTCGTCCAACCCACTCACTTTGACGTCTTGCAAGCCAAGATAAAAGGAACGTACCTAGACGGCGAGATCGGGCTCACTCCTACGCCGACGGTCTCGTTCCCTTCCTTCGACGTCGGTGTCGGTTGCGTACTGCACGTTCCTATCGAAGTGAAGAACGACGAGCGTAAGTTCCAGAAGCCGTGCCAGGCCCCTCAGGACCCTAAGGCAGGAAATGCTTCGATAAGCTCTCAGCTGCGAGCTAAGATCTATCGCGTTTACCGGACGTCGCTCTACCAGCAGCAGGAAGCGCCCTTCGACGTGCTACCTGGCCCAACGCTAATTGCCAATCCAAGCTCGAACCCCTACACGACAGCACTGCAGTGGCAGCCGGCTCGAGGTCAGGAGGGGTTCGTCTACTCCATCTGCCTCTCCATCCAAGTCGACTTGAGCTCCTCCGACTTGAGCGAGAGCTGCCAGCAAGAGTTCTACACGGCTCCCTTCCTCGGCCACCCTTCCCAGTACTGCATCACAGTCAATGTCGAGCGATGCAGGTGAAGTCGCGACGTCTCCTCGTCTCTTCCCGCGACTGACCGGGGCCTGCAGGTACTGCGTGCAGGACGGGGACAGCATGGAGACGGTGGCGAGGGACTGGGGGTCGTCGATCCTCCAGCTGTGGGGCGGCAACTCGATCTTCTCCCCCGCCTACCTCGAATCCCAGCAGAAGATCTTCTTGGGGCCCGTCTACACCGTAGGGCCTGATGAGACCCTTCCAGAGGTGGCACTCAAGGTAGTTGTTTTCTCTTGTCCGGTCTCTAGTGAAACTCCTCTAGTTCGGTCGAACCGCCTTGGACGTCTTGGATTGGAACCCGGACATCCCGATGGATCCCTCCATCATCAGCGGGCAGACTTCTCTCATCAGCTCGCAGGGACTCTACTTGAATCACACAGGCATGGCCTGCTGCTGCTGCTGCTGCTGCTGCTGCTGCTCCTCCTCCTCCTCCACCACGATTACATGTCGCTGGACTTGAAACACGTCATGCTGAGGCGGCACCGTGACCTGGAGCGCTCGCCAGCTCGGCAGATCTGGAGACA